AATTTAAAAAATAATCAATATGCAATTAAAAATCAGTTAATAGTTTTAATTTAGTTTGCCCTTATTTAAATAATTGTTCCTTATTAACACACGCCTTATTTACCAATTAACACAGATGATTCGATAGATATAAATAAATGTTAATAGTTAACAGTTTTTTTACGATTTCATTCCCCTGTTTTCCTTAGTATTGTAATAAAAAATATGACAAATATATTGACTGTACACTTCAAATAGTACTGTACCGACACAAGCCTGCTACGATTTTATTATTAGTAAGCACTAGAGACACAGAAACGTACGGTAGATATGTAAGAAAATGTATAAAAATACTCACGTGTAAATTGCTGTTTTATTGAAACAACAATAATACAATTTGCTTTGTATGTGATCTGTAATCCGTAAAGATCGAAGGTATCGAATATGAATAAAAATTTTTAAATACTTATTGCACTATTGTTAACTGCTTTTTACACAATTCAGAAACAATCTAAATTAGATTTCATACATGTCGCCTATTTATAGTATCGTATTGTAAACAAGTCATTACACGCACATATTCCTGCCGATGCATGCTGGACTTCCCGACAATGCGCGACACGGTCGCCTGCCAACACTTGCTTGTTAAGAGCTGTTGGCGGACTTGACACCTGATTGGTTATAATTTGTGAATTTATTTGGAAAATAAAGTAATCACTACAACTTTAACTCTGTTACACAACAGATGAAACGTACGAACGGTTTTTCAAAATTTTCTTATATTCTCTTCTTTCTTTATGCTTCCACCGCCCCCTTATTTTTATTCAACGCCCCCCAATTGCACCCGAGGCTACTACTGCCCCCCTGGATCGTTCCAGCGCCCCCCAGGGGGCGGTATCACCCACTTTGGGAACCTCTGATCTAGTCCAATATCCAGTCTTCCGACAGTGGCCAATGCCAGGTGCCCCAGAGGGAATGAACAGAACAGGTAATCATCAAGTGATCCATCCCCTGTCATCCAGTCCCAGCTTCTGGCAGTCTTGGCCGGCCAAGCCAGACTCTTATTAGACAGAAGGCAAAAGGAGAGCGATAGGAAAGAGAAGAAATAAGGTAGGGAAGGAAAAGGGCACAATGGAGCAGGGAGGAGAGAAAGTCTCACATCCCAGCTGGTGGTTGGGATTCAGCTGGAGCTGGTAGGGGTGGTGATGTCATCTGGGTCCCTCTCTCTGGCCCGGTCCTGTCAGGACACCTGTCTGGATCAGGATGACAAAGGTCTGGGGCCCAGGAGATGATGGGGGTGGCAGCCATGATGGTGAAACTTGCTCCAGTAACCAGTTTGTCTCCCCAAAGTCTCTTTGTAAGACCCCAAAGGCAGTGATGGATGGAACAGCCCATCCCTTCGTTATTTCAGCCACCAATTAGGCCTAATATTCAACACACCAACTTTGGTTAGTTACTTTCCAGCACCACATTTTTCTTGTTTACCAAGCATGATCTTAATACAGTCCTTGAGCTGGGCTAGGAGGCCTTTCTGTTTGGACTCAGTCACGCTGTCTCCCCTTCACACCTTTTCTATCAACATTTGTTGTTCTAGCTCATGGGTAGGCAACCTATGGCACGCGAGCTGATTTTCAGTGGCACCCACACTGCCCAGGTCCCGGCCACCAGTCTGGGGGGCTCTGTATTTTAATTTAATTTTAAATGAAGCTTCTTAAATATTTTAAAATCCTTATTTACTTTACATACAACAATAGTTTAGTTATATATTATAGACTTATAGAAAGAGACCTTCTAAAAACGTTAAAATGTATTACTGGCACGCGAAACCTTAAATTAGAGTGAATAAATGAAGACTTGGCACACCACTTCTGAAAGGTTGCCGTTCCCTGTTCTAGTTCATAAGCTATCACAATCAGGGTCAGCTCCAGCGTTTTTGCTGCCCCAAGTGGCGGAAAAATAAATAATTAAATAAAAAAGCTGCGATCGGCTGCAGCTCTACCACCGCCGCTTCATTCTTCGGCGGCAATTCGGCGGCAGGTCCTTCCCTCCGAGAGGAACTGAGGGACCTGCCACCTAATTGCTGCCAAAGAGCCGGAGGTGCCACCCCCTTCCATGGGCCGCCCCAAGCACCTGCTTACTGCGCTGGTGCCTGGAGCCAGCCCTGATCACAATAACCTTACACTCGCTCTAGGGTTGCAAACTTTGATTGGTCGTATTCCTGGAGGTTTCATTGTATGACAATCTTCAATTAAAGATTATTTTTTAATTGCTGGAGATGCCAGGACAATCCTGGAGGGTTGGCAACTGTAACTCACTCTCTACTGGTGAGCTCACAGTGAGGGTAAATGTGTAGGCCCAATTATCACAACAGCCCTCTGCTCAAAAGGGGAAACCAAAAGTTTGGCTGCGTAAGGAACAGGAGGGATAATAATACAGAAAATACTCTAATGCTTTGATATCGCTCAGTGGTGCAGCTTCCTCTGGATACTGTGTGCAGTACTGGGCATTCTGTCTCCAAAACAATATAGCAGCATCAGAGGGGACTCTGATGGATGAGGAAAATGATTCAGGGCCTGGAAAACTTTTCCTGGGAAGAGAGTTTTAAATGAAAGCGTGTTTCCCTTGGAGAAGAGAAGTAGAAGAGACCAAGAGCTTAGCAAATTTCAAAAAAAAGGATTGGCCACTTAGATGGATAATGAGAACATCAGAGTTAGAACTGCTGACCTGCCAAGAGTTTTGAAAGGGATTTAAATCATCGAATCGGGCCCCGCACTTGCCGCTCTTACAGACTCCTCTGCCAGCCGCCACTGAGTGAGCATGAACCTCTCAGTTAGGGCATGGTAAGTACAGTTTGTTGCGCTTAGTCAAACACTAAGGAGAACAACACTTTGTCATCCCAGTGTTCAAGATTTCAAAATGTTTATTAAAGCTAATGTTAAAATGATATAATACACAGGTTAAAGAAAGAGTGTCTGTACCTCTGGGTATAGTGTTTACATTGTCCAAAAGTACAAAGGTTGGTTTGAAAGTCATAAAATACATAATCGGCAGTATCCCAGATTAAGGTTAATAAATTCAGTGATACAGTTAGAGTATTAGCATCCAAGTATTCAGGTACTTCACTCATGAAAAGTAGTACAGAGAGTTGGTTGTGGAAAGCAAATATAGGAATGAGTGAAGATTGTCCCTCAGTAATTGAGAATTTAGGATAGTCTGTCCCTTAGAAAACACAATCCATTAGGGAAGTATTTCAGTTTTTCCCCCGACTTTGCTTCTCATCGGCACTCCAGCTCATCTCCCCCGGTATTGCCGATGTCCGGTGATGTATTCTAGATAGACGTCCCTCGACCACCTGATGGTGTCCAATACCATGAGTTGCTGCATCAGCCAAGCATAGCACTGACTGATTCTGCATTCTCGCAACACTCGTTAAAGTGTATTTTAACTCAAAACAGCCAAAATTGATCACTTTGGCAAAGTGGGTCTGTCTGCTGAACATGTAGGCAAAGTAGGTGTGTCTTAGTGTGGGACCATAATAAATCTCATTCTGTGGCAGAAGGATCTGGGAGGTGTCATCTGATTCATAAACATCTACAAACTCCTAATTCCAGTGGTGTCACGCTCTGTGGTGGTGGTGGAGGTGGGGGACGACTTACTGCCTCCCAGCTCCAGGTGCTCTGGTTGGTGGACATTTTGCTAACACAATGCCATTGGAAATGGGTCACATTGAGTATCATTGCAAAGCCCTTTCTTCCCATCACCCGAGCCATTAGCACAGCTCACACATGCCACCACTTTCAGCAGAGGGCTAAAGACTGATCAGCCTCCCAGAGTCAGTGCCACTAGGTTAAGTTAGAGGCATATGGTCTCTTCACTCACTGTGAAATGCAGCCACTTCTGGGGTGATATATGGCAACACTAGAACATGAGGATCTTTTATCCTGCCTATCTATAGACCTTGCTAACTGTCCGCTAATTAGTCTGAGCTATGCTTTGTGGTGGTTCCATGTAGGGCAGGTCCTTTCTCCCAGCTCCATCGGCTCTGCTTGGGATCGTGACACACACTCTGTTGTTTGCCCTATCCAGGGGGAGAGTCTGTGGTTTGTTCTGCCTAATGCCAGCCAGCCAGAGCAGGGTTTTGCCTGGATGGTCCTTTGGCTGAGAGGAGTTCAGGACACTTATTCCAAGATTGCAGCAGTCTCTGCGTGACGCTGGCTGTTACTGGGGACTCCTGCCAGGCCTGGGAACTCCTCCTGGATACCAGAGACACCTCCGCTGCCAACTACAAGTCAATTACCTCCCTGCCCCACCCTGCTGAGGGGAGTCACTTTCCCTCGTGCAGGATGGCAGCATGGAGGGAGCACAGGCGTGACCTGCTGAAGTGCGGTGGCCAAGCTGTCTTGATGGGGTCTGGATCTGGGATAGCTGGGTTTGGGTGAGGGGCATTGGCAGAGCTGTGTGTGAGCCCAGGAGGGGCTGCGGCAGGTACATTTTCAGAGATGTTACTGGGGGGGTAGGGGCCAGGCACTAGAGTAGCAGGTGGTGCTGCAGGCTGGGACAGAAGTGTATCTGGAGCTGTGTGGAGGGCAGAGGTAGGAGAAGGGGCTGCCGGATGTATCAAGAATGGCTACATCAGCCAGGCTGTGTGGAGGTCCTAAGGCTGGCATAGCAGGGGGGTCTATGGGTCTACACCAGATACAGGGCACCAATATTTGTGTGCGGTGCGGAGCCAAAGCCTAGAAGAGCAGGAAGTGCTTCTAGAGATCTGCTGATGGGCCTGTTTCTTATACCACTGTGGTAGCTGTGGTGCACGGGTATAGCTTTGGGGAGGTCCCAGGACTGAGCTAGCATGGAGTGTGGTGGGGCAGGGCTGGCATGCACTGGGTGGAGCTTGCCCAGAGCTGCTTGCACCATGCTTGACCTTCTCCTGACCGCCAGCTCTGAGTTCCTCGGAAGCACTGAGCATTCTCCACATCACTGGAGCAAACTGAAGGGGCAGCCAATGGTGTGTCTCGTTTCAGCTGTGTGCCGTTATCCTCTGGGAATGTCAGGCGGCCACATCCCAGACGAAGACATCTCCGCCTCCAGCCAGTGGTCTGAATCCACAGCAGCCAAGTATGGAAGGTGAGGGCAACCGACGCGAGGGAGCCGTGTGCCTTTCACATGGGGGTGATTGGCTGCTTGGTATCACACTCGCCCTATGGCAGGGGACAGCTGCGTCACTGATGTTCTCAATGGCCATAGCAGGATTTCACTGGTGTTCCTGTTCTGTGACTGGCCATTGCTGGGCGAGGACCCTGTGCTGGGGCCCAGGGCGTGTTCCATGCACCTGCAGTCTCACTCTGCCAGTGTCATCCTGCATGTGCAGCATACATCAATGGCTGCCGCTCTTACAGACTCCTCTGCCAGCCGCCACTGCTCCTGTGCCCTGGGCCCAGCACAGGACAAGGCAGGCTCTGCTGCAGCTGTGGGGAGGTGGAGAGCACTTCCCAGAAGCAGGCAGTGGGGCCTTGGTTCCATGGCAGCTGTGGGGCTGGCCCAAGACAGCGTTCCTGGAATGTGTTCCTGGGGGCAATGTTGTGGAGCCATGGCTAGGCTTGCATGGGGCCAGTCCCTGCAGCAGCTGTCAGGTGCCAGGATGGCTGACAGCTTGGTCACTGGCTGAGGCTCCTCCAAATGCAGGCTGAGGGCATGTTCATCAGCAAGAGGGAAGCTGCTGCTCTCCGTCCCTAGCAGTCTCCTGCCAGGTCCCAGAGTGAGGAAGAGTCCAGCCAGCTGCAAAGGGGAGCAGAGCGGAGATGGGAGCACAAGGAAGGTACCAAGTGGACAGTGGGGCTGGGGACCTGGGCTCAGACCCGGGGATTCTTGGGGTGAAAGGGACATGCCGTGTGTCAGAAGACAGGGTAGATTTGGGGAAGAGTTTTGTAGTGAAAGACATGCAGCCATGAGCTTTCTAACCCAGACCTTTTCACAGGAAACTAGACCCAATGGGGTGTGTGATGCCTGCAGACCCAGGAAGGGCATGTGGCCCTGGAGCTCAGCTGCATGTCAAGGGGCCTCCCTGCAGCCAGCATTAGCCATCAAAGTGCCCTCTGTGAGCTCCCTCCTTCACTCTGGGCTCAGTAAAGGATGCGGCAAGCATGCGTGTGTTCATTTGTGAATGCATGCTGGGGAGAGTTCCTTGTGCTAGGAACTCTGTCATGAACGTTCCCTCAGCTGGAGCAGTGACTCTGAGCCAGCAAGGAGCAGTTGCTGATGGGTGACGCTCACCCCGGGTCTCCTCTCCTCCCACCCATGTTCATCTTAACTCCTGCAGGCAGGGTGAGATAAACCCACCCTGAACAGCCCCATTGGCCTCACTTTCTCTGCTGGCCCAGCCCACTCCCCGGAAATTGCCCGAGTGTGAGAGGGCAGCTGCAAGAGAGATGCTACACCCAGCATGTGCCCAGCAGAGGCTGCCCCAAGGCTGGGGTTTGACCCTATGGCTGCTTGTCGCTCTGCATTGGGGAGTTGGTGGCAGGACACTGTCTATAGTCTCCCTGCTCTTCCTCTCCTCCTTCCTGTGCTACTGACTGCTCTTCCTCACCCGGTGCTGAGGAAAAGTCATGCATCATTTCCAGTGATTGGAGGGAGATGTTTTCTCCTGGCCCCTCCCGTCTCACCTCTCCATCTGGGGCTCTGCCCTGCCACCTTAGTTACCCAACAGCTTCTCACGTGGCAGGCCCTGCACGTTGTGTTTCTGCCTCTAGTGCCTGGCCCCTGACCCAGCTGTGAGGGCTCCTGTAGGGCTCGAAGCAGGGGCCAGTTTTGTATACACACCATGCTGCTATTGAAGGTCCAGCCCCACGTCAGAGGCAGTGAGGAAGACTCTTCAGGGAACATACCCATGATGACACCCTCCGACTCCTGCCATATACTATCCTGGTCCTGTCAGCCTGACCCAGTGCAGTCCCACGTGCTTCCTGTCCTCCCGCACTTTGGGTAGCTAGTGCCCAACAGGTGCCTACAAGTGACGACTGGTGAAAGCAGGGACTGCAGTTGGGCCCCCTGGTGAGCAGGATCTGGGGGCAGTGGTGTGGTATTCCCCTCCCCTGGGCCCACACTGGCCCTCAGGCCTGATTCTGGTGGGATTTCTGATGGGTCAGATACAGAACCTGCCCCAGGATCAAATCAGGGGAGCACACGATTTGTGAGTGGGGAGGCAAGGAAACACCCCCACACGACAACAGGCGAGGAGATGTATGGGTCACGCTCAGAAATGGCACCCAGTACCAGCACTCCAGATCCAGTGTGAGCTGCTGGGGGAACACGAGATGGCCCATGGGAGGGAGAAATTCGGATTATGCTGCTCCTTGCCCAGCTCCACCCTGCCCATGGGACTGGTGTCCCTATGGGGGCCCAAGGCTGAAGTTCAGAACTCAAAGGGGGTGGGGGAACACTCCTCCAGCATTTTATAATGAGAGAACTGAGACCTCAGGGCTTCAGGCCGCTGGAGAGCCCTCCCCACTGCAGGGCCCCAAATCTGTGAATCCACCCCCATATGCCAGCTCCTTGTGAGGGGAAGGACAGGTCCTCCTGGTGCTGCAGGTGAGTTAAGGGTTGGAGGCTGAGGAGCTGGGACTTTCCTGCTCTATTACTGCTGGTTAGAAGAGTCCTGGTCAGTGCTAGGCCAGCCCAGGGGCAGGTAGGGTGGGCTGTAGGGAAGGCAGGGTGGGGTCTGACGCCTGGGGAGCAGGGTGCCATGATAGGCTCTCACAGGAAGTCTTTTTGGAAGTGACTCTCTCTCCTCCCCTGCACTCCTACCCCACCCTGCTCTGCCCCAGGCTTGATTCAGAAGAGGGCGATGGGGCTTGGTGTCCGGAGATCCCCGTTGAGCCAGATGACCTCAAGGAGTTCCTTCAGATTGACCTGCACGCCCTGCACTTTATCACCCTGGTGGGGACCCAGGGGCGACACGCTGGCGGCCACGGCAATGAGTTTGCACCAATGTACAAGATCAATTACAGCCGGGATGGCACCCGGTGGATTTCCTGGAGGAACCGGCATGGGAAGCAGGTAAGGAGGTGGGGAGCTAATAAATCTTCCCTGCTAGGATCCCACTGCCCTGGAGATGGGAAGGGGGGCCCTACATGTGGGATGCGCCACCACGCTCAGACTGGCATCCTAACCAAGTGTTGCTGCACTGGTGTGTACTGCAAATCCAGTACCAGGTGGGCCAGGAGTCTCTATAGCTGCCACCTCGAGTTACAGGCATTCGGGGCTGGAGCAGTGCCTAGCCGACAAGCAGAACACCATCCCCTAGGACAGAGAATGCCCTTGCCTGACCGGGGGACTGGCAATGAAGGGTGTCAGCAATCTGTTTCTGGGGCAGTTGGGGCTTGGTCACTGGAGTATTGGCAAATGTCAGTGAAGATGCTGATGGTACCTGTCATGCAGTGCCCAGGGAGGTGTGAGTCGAAGTGCAGGCTTTACCCTCCATGCCCATTCATGCCAATCCACCTCTCCCACCTGCCCCAATGCAATGTAGACAGGAGATGAACATTGGCACCATCCAGGCTGCCACAGCTGTAGTGCTGGATGGAAGTTCACTGCAGGGGGTACAAACATATCTACTGCCATGCCCTAGGCCCCTAACAATGGCAAAGCCCCATGCACCGGTGGGATTGTGCCCACCACACAGATGCCGAGACTGATGCAAAAGCAGTGAGCTCCCTGCCCCCGGTGGTGGGGAAGAGCTGTGTGGTGGTGGCAGGGTACGGCAGCGTGCAGCAGCCGTGAGCCACACTCGGAGGCCTGTAGGGTGTGTGAGCTGCCCCCTGTCTCTCCCAGCTGCACAGCATCAGCACCCTTTGCCAGCTAGTGTCTGTCGTTCTCAGGTGCTGGATGGAAACACCAACCCTTATGACATTGTCCTCAAGGACCTGGAACCTCCCATCATAGCTCGCTTCATACGCTTCATTCCCATCACCGACCACTCCATGAACGTCTGCCTGCGAGTGGAGCTCTATGGCTGCACGTGGCTAGGTGAGCAGGGGCCTGCAAGGGCACCAGTCACACCCATTTCCAGTGCCATGGATCAGGGGCCCAGATGAGCTGCAGGTACAAGGGCTCATGCTGTGGCAGCGGGACCCTGTGTTGTGTTTGGGGGTCTGACATAACACACCACATGCGTTACCGGAGTGTGAACCAGGGAAATGCATCTGTCTGCATGGATCTCTAGGCAGTGGGGGCATGCAAGGGGCTCTGGCTGGCAATGGGGCTTGGAAGGGGAACACTCATCAGCAGTGCTGCCTCCTGGTCAGGCTAGGGTGTGGCAAGTTGTCTTCCTCCCGGGACTTCCCCTTTCTCACAGTAAATCCTCTGTTTGGGGGTCTGTCCTATTTGCGACTCAGCCCTCTGGCTAGGTCACATGTTCGAATCCAATGATATGGAAATCTTCAGAAGTCAGCAAGGACTTCAGGACTTCCCCCATGGGTTGGGGTTTTAGGGTTTGGACCTTTGTACCTTCCGGGTCTCCCAACTAGATTCCCCACCAAGGGACAGGCTTCTGTTATTGTCCCCTCTTTAGGGGCTGGTAGAGGATTCAGGGCCCAATGGTAGGCAGCTGAGATCGGCATCTTGGGGTGCTATGCGGCTGCCTCCCTGAATCGCTTCCTACCAGTGTCCCCTCTCCCCACAGGGTAAAATAAAGAACCAAACACACAATTAAAGTCTGTGACTTTCAGAAGCCCCCAGTCCCTCCCTTGCAGGCTTGGGCAGGTCAGTATCCAAGCCTCAGGCTGCAAGCTTTCCTGGGAGGCGCCTTCCCAGGAGCTTGGACCACAGGTCTTCTCCTGTCCACTGCCTGCCCCCTACTCAGCTGCTCTGCTTCCCCTTTTAAGCCCCCAGTCCAGCTTCTGCCAGCTCTTTTATCTCTTGTTCTCCAGTGTGGGGTTTATACACCCTGGCACAGGCCGTGGCTGGCAACAGGATTGTGTGAGGGGCTTTGGCAGCAATGGAAGCTTGTGAGGGCTCAAGACTGGAAATGGGGGTTTGCTTGGGGCTGTGTCAGCAATGGGGGGGTTGCAAGTGGCTGTGCCTGGCAATGGGGGGTTGTGAGAGGACATGGCAGCAATGGAGGTTTGCAAGAGGCCATGTCTGGCAACGTGGGTGTGCAATGGTCCATGGCTGGCAATGGGGTTTGCTAGGGGCCGTTTCAGTAATGTGGGTTTGCGAGAAGCTGTGGCTGGCAATGGAGGTTTTTGAGGGGCTGGAGCTGTGTGAGGGGCTATAGTTGGCAATGAGTGTGTGCAAGGAGCCGTGGCTGGCTACTGGGGTTTGCGAGGAAAAGTGGCAGCAATGGGGTTGTGCAAAGGGCCATAGCAGCAATGAGCGTGTGCAAGGGGATGTGTCTGGCAGTGTGGATTTGTGAGGGGCTGTGGGAGTAATTCAGATGTGTGGCTCACAGTGGAGGTGTGAGAGGGGCTCTGGTGGGTAATGGGGTTGGTGAGGATCCGAGGCAGCATTGAGGATTTGCAAGGAGCCATGGCACTAATGGGCTTGTGTGAGGGGCCATGGCTTGCAATGTGGTTGTGGCAAGAGGGGTTTATGAGGGAATGGGGCAGCAATGGTGTGGGGGCTCATAACTGGAAATGAGGGTTTGCTAGGGGATGTGGCAGCAGTGGGGCGTGTGAAGGGCCCTGTCTAGAATGGAGGTTTGTGAGAGGCCATGGCCATAATGGGAGTTTGTGAGAGGCCGTGGCTGGCAGTGGGGTTTGCAACAGGCCAGGCCTGGCCATGGAGGTGTGTGAGGGGCCTTGGCTGCCAATGGGAGTTTGTAAGACCACATGGCATCAGTGCCCAGGTTTGTGAGGGTCCATGGCTTTCAATGGGGGGCTGCTAGGGGTTGTGGTTGGTCGTGGGGATTGGCATGAGGCCGGCTGGCAATGGGGAATTGTGAAAGGCCATGAGAGTGATGGGTGTTTGTGAGGGGTCATGGCTCACAATGGAGGTTCGCGAGGGGCCATTGGTGGCAGTGAGGAGGTGGCAGCAGTGGAGGTTTGATAGAGGATATGGCTGACAGTGGGGCGGGGGAAGGTGACAGGCTGTGGCTGGCAGTGGGAATGTGGAAAGGTCCATGGCTAGGAATGGGAGTTTGCGAGAGGACATGGCAGCAATGGTTGTGTGTGAGGGGACGTGACTGGCAATGGGGGGGTTGCATCTTCTTGGCCTACATCCATATCTCTGCTGGCATGATAGTTTCACTGCCCTATTTGTCAGCCTGGCCAGTTCTCCCTCCAGCCATTCTCCCCCATCTATTTTGTGTGAAACTCATAGAGCGGAGCCCAGTCTGTTTCTGAGCTCATCCCTGGTCTGTGCTGCAATCAAGAGCCTCTTGGCCTAGGTGGATGTTGCATTGTGCTCTCCTTTTTGTTTATCCGGGAGAGCTGCTGCAAACCTGGCTGGGGGGGATGCTTGTTTGGGCCCACACTAATTGCACACTGATTGCTCTGACAGATGGGCTGGTTTCCTACAATGCGCCTGCTGGACAGCAGTTCATCCTTCCCAGCGGCACGGTCATTTACCTCAACGATTCTGTGTATGACGGCGCTTTTGGCTACAGGTAAGTTCCCGGAGAGCTCCTTGCCTGGGAAAGTGGGGGAGGGGTTTTACGGGCAGGTCAGGACTTGGCAGTGACAAGCTGCCAATGTTCTACCAAGGGCTCCACAACAATGGCCCCCCAGTGCTGTCCTGTGATAAGCTGTTTGGTAGAAACCTGGTTCAAAGGTCACCTGTTTGAGTCGTTTGACTTGTCAGCTCCTCCGGTTCTGTACATCCCCGAGCACATCATCAGTACTCAACGAACTAACTAATAGCAACCCCACTCCAGTGGGGATTGTGCCCCTGCAGGCAGGAGGGCCGGGGATGTGCTCATTTGCCCATTTAAACAAGACCATGTTTTTCTTGCCATAAGCACAGAAGGAAGGAGCCACTTGGCCAACAAAGGCGCAAGTTGCTGCCTCTTGCTGAGAAAATAGCCAATTATTCTGGAGATTATGAGTTCAGCCCAGGTCATCTGATGTGCTGGGAGGCTGTGGAAAGCCCCTGGAAGGGGTGTTGGGGGCTCTTAGAGCCCCCTGTGTGACTGAGGCAGCCCACTGAGATCTCT